CTCTCCCAGGCTCTTGGCCTGCTCTGCATTCATTTAGAGTGTCTTGTCAGGAACTTTCAAAGAGGTCAAGGGTGAGAGCGCCGCCTACATAATGAAGAGCAGGGTATAAATGCCAATCAACCCTTGCTAGCTGTCCCTCCCACTACCAGTGGTTCTCAACCTTCCTAATGCCGCGACCCTTTAATACAGTTCCTCATGTTGTGGTGACCCCCAACCATAAAATTATTTTCGTTGCTACTTCATAACTGTAATTTTGCTACTGTTATGCATCGTAATGTAAATATCTGATACGCAGGATGTATTTTCATTGTTCGCGACCCGCAGGTTGAGAACCTCTGCACTAGACCCAGGTTCTCTGGATGCACAGCCTGTGAACAGTCACCCCAGGGCACCATAACTGAGGGTGAGGGGGCTCCATGCCCATTCCCTCCTCTGTCCTCTGTCTTGGATATGGCACAGAACGGCTGGTCCACAGGTTGTCTGAGGTTGGAGTGGGACCAAAGCTACCCGACAGCCTGGCCACTTGGGTGCCAGGCCCCAGGCCCCGCTGCCTGCTAGGGAGTGGGTTGTGCTGCAAGTTCCCCAGAAGCCCGAAGGGTGGGAAGAGGCTGAGGCGACACTGAAAGCAGAAGGTGAGAGTGTGGCCTCAGGGTCACGGAGGATGTTGGCTTTCACAACTGTCTCCAAGTCCAGATGGCCTCCCCCTCCCAGCAGGAGCCAGAGAAAGGGGTGTAGTCTCCTGAACAGAGGCTTCCGTGAGAGGCTGGGAATTCTTTGCTAGGAGACTGGTGGAAACACTGTCTGCCAAGGCGGGGTGAGATATTCCTACGAGATAGCCTCCTGGATGCTTCTCAGATCCTCCCTCACTCCTTTATTCCAACTGCCGCTGCCCTGGTGATCTCTTACTCGGATGGCATCTCTGTCTCCCCATGCTCAGGCCAGCCTCCTTCCTCTCTATCTCCTGCACTACAGCCCAAGGGATCTTCTTAACTATTACTCTCTTGCTCACAATCCTTCGATGGCTCCCCATTGCCCTTGGAGTAAAGTCCAAGCTCTGCTCATGAAACTCTTCCAGCCCCCCCACCAGGCTGGGCTCTGTCCACGGAGCGCCTTGCTCTAGTTTCCAGCCACTAGCCATGCCAAATTGCTTGTAGCCCCATTCACCCCATCCTGCTGCACAAGCCCAGCCTCTGCCCAGGCCATTCTCTACCTGGAATGCCTCCCCTCCAGCTTCCCCACTTGGCCTGGTTCTGGGGGCATATCCTTTAGGAAGCCTTCTTGGACCTGCAGGGACCCCCTCCTTTGGGTTCCTCTATGCCTGGGCTTTCCTGGCCATCACCCCCAATTAAACAGTGTCTGCAGGGCAGGGTGCGGACCTTATCCACCTCTGTATTCCCAAAGCTCTGTCACTGGGACTTCGTAGGAGCACAGTACATGTTCAGGGACTGAACGGAGCCTGCTGAGGTCCCCTCCACCAGAGGGATGACAGAAGGGGAGGTGTGGATAGAGCTGCCCCTGGGTTGGAGAAGAGGCAGAATCTAAAGGGCAGCTGGGGCCCTAGCTGGTTTGGCTCAGTGGATAGCACATCAGCCTGCGGACTGAAGGGTCCCGGGTTCGATTCTGGTCAAGGGCACATGCCCGGGTTGTGGGCTCGATCCTCAACAGGGGGCATGCAGGAGGCAGCCAGTCAATGATTCTCTCTCATCACTGATGTTTCTATCTCTCTCTCTCCCTCTCCCTTCCTCTCTGAAATCAATTAAAATATATTTTAAAAAATAATAAAATAAAGTGCAGCTGGGGTCAGAACACCAGCCCCTCTCAGAGCCCTTCTTCCCCTCCCCTGCAACCACCTACCCCCTGGCCCACTTCTCCAGCCAGCACCCCAGGGGCCACGCACATATCAGGAAGTGGCGGGGAGGCAGGGACAGGACCAGGGCCCCAAGCTGCCTCTCCTCTTTTGGGGCTTCACTCCCCAAAGGAGTCAGCCTCTCTTCTGTCCCCCGAAGGCTGTTTTCAAAATCACACCCTAAGCAGACAGTTTTATTTACAAGGAAAATGTTGGCAGGATCTTGACTTGTTAGTAGAGTAGAGCTGGGGGAGGGTGGTGAGAAACAAAAATAGTTGAGATGATCACACTTGCTGAAACCGAGATGAAAATGGGTGTCTGTAGCAAACTCACCTAATTAGAACGATGTTAATTTCCTTTTCGTGTTTCAGGGGAGCAGTCATTGTCAGGGAGATGGTCACAGGTTGGATGTGGGGCTGCTGGGGTTATGTGTTTGCTTTGGGGACATGAGCGCATTAATTGCAATTTTCATTATTGGAGAAGAGCCTGTTTCTGAGAGGGAGCAAGGCTGGAGTGAGTGGGTGGGTGGGTGGTGAGAAGAAGAAGGAAGAGGAGTGGAAGGGGACAGCCTCCGTGGGGGCTGGGGGCTGACTGTGAGACATCACCAGGAGTCAGTCCTCCTGGGAGAAGTGGGCACGGTCCCAGCCAGCACTGGCCCCTGGCACGGTTTCCAGGCAGCGCCTCTGCTTGGGGGAGACAGTCTCTCCTGGCAGGTCTTTTCCTGCAGAGGAAACAGCACCAATTTTTTTTTTTCCTTTAAAATATCCACTGTTCCTTTGCTCTAACTTCATT